CTGCAAAGAAAACAAAAAATATCAAGAAGTTAAATCCTTGGGGGGGGGTCTTGTGCAGAAATGGAAATTATCAAATTTCACAGATTAAGATTCTTTGCCAAAAGTTTACAGTCATATCATATTGAAACAAGTTTTTGTACAAGTTAAGCACCTTCAAGCCTAGTCAGTACCTAGATGGGTGACCATTTGGGAATACCAGGTGCTGTATACTTGGATATGTCGTTTACAGATACATCATGTTAAAAAAACACTTCTCATATGATCACTGAAGTTAAGCACCTTCAAGCCTAGTCAGTACCTAGATGGGTGACTGCTTCGAATACCAGGTGTTGTACGCTTGGATGTGCAGGTGGTGTGGCTTATGTCTCCAAGACCACATGGCCGAGTGGATAAAAAGTGACTTGACCTAAAGAGTTGTGAGTTCAATACCTGGCAACAGCAGAGTTGAACAAAAACTTGACGAGTTGAGTTACTAAAAGGAAATAACTGAAACTGAGATGTCCAGAAGAGGTATGGCACATGGAACGAGAACAATCTACCCCCGTGGACTAAATAAAGTTCAAAATTCCAACATATATCACCTGAAGGCTGGAGTGTACAATGGCCGAAACGTTGTGAATATGACAATGAAGATGAGGACAATAGTCAAAACAATGTTAATAGGTACAATACTTCATCTCAGAAATATAGACAAATGGTTTAACTTAATCTATTATCTTTTGCAACCAGATTCTTGACATTCAAATTCTGTAAATTCAATCAGTGCCATTAATGTCGTGTCTAGCAGTACCAAGCTGTCCTAATGAATGCATTTACCACATATAAACATACCTACCTCTTCAATAGTCATTGTTTTTTTACCACTGCATATGACAGGCATATTCCCCCTGTAGCCTTAATGTTATAGTGATTTTCTAAGCCTAGATTAGATGTGGCATTAGGACAAAAGTATGGAGAACCCAGTGAGAATTATACTCACTATTCTGGCATTAAGGTTAGGTTTTTCCATGTTAGTGTTTTACCATTACAGATATTACCTTTGAGTTACATCTCTTTTTTCTATAGTTTTCAGCTGGAATAATGATAAGAGTTTGTCAAGGCATATTTCAGGCATGATGGAGCAACTGCAACTCACATACATTGACAGTATTTTGTTAGACTAATTCCTTTTACAGTACCAGTAATGATGACAATATTAATGAAGCTTGACTAAATACTATTATTATAGAGCTGAGACAGGTAGAAGTGACTGTCTAATATAAAATTATAGCCTACAGTAGTAAATGTTCAGGTGGATAAAATTAGCTTACAGAAGGTAACAACTTCACATATAAGACACGGGACAAATTTGAACCTTTTTTGACCGTGTTTTATTAGAAAAACTGTGCATTTTATATGATATTAAATCTGATAAACTGGTCATCTTCAATGTATTTGCAAATATATAAACATCAAACAAGTGTGGTTTGGTTTGGTTTATTTTGTTTTACGGCATATCAACACCTCAATGGGTTATTTAATGCCGACAAGACTTTTAGGATAGGTTCGTATGAACAGAATATGTATTCTTTGTAAGAAATCAGGTTGTAGATCAGGTTTCATTGACATATTTTTGGAAAAGGTTTTTTTGTCAAGAATCTAATGTATTGCTGGTAATATTTTTTTTCTCAAAAATGTATGGCTGGTATTTTTATTATACAAATCTGTTTTTATGCATTCATAGTGTTTTGACCCCAGTTTGGGGGTCAACTATTTGCCCATAGCTGGGATCCTAACAGGTGCTACCACCCTGGGCAGGGTGGACCTGGGAGAACTGCCATTATGAGGGGGTTCCACGCTCCTGAAAACATCCACTCTCCCGACCAGAGGCCTTTCTGCTGGATGTAGTTTATAGTCGTACCCAGACGGAAACAAGTGTGTGTTGTGTACATAAATAACACCCCCCCACACACACACACAAACACACAAAGCAAAGCAAAATAAAGAATAAAGAAAAAACAGAATGAATCATTATTTATAAGCAGACTATTGTCCTCATCTTTATTAATGTTATCACATTTTAGATTTTGTGATCTCTGACCTTCATCAGGTATAACTCAATCTGTGTAACACCTGATGAAGTCCGAAGGACACAACAGCCAAAACATTGTGATACCAACAACAAAGATGAGGACAATAGTCTGCATGTAAATAGGGTAAACAATGATAATTCCCCATTCCAGAAATTCAGAGAGAAATTAATGGAGTCATTAAAAATAAATAAATAATTAAAATTATTCAAACAAAAATTTCATGGAAAATCTTTTGTTTTTCTCTCCAATGGTTCCAGGGTTCAAATCTTCTTGGTTTAAATTTAAAAATAAAGAAATAAAATACACGTTGTAAAAAGAAACTGAAAGTTCATTTAGGTCTGTCAGACGTGCAAACATTTCACAAACAGGTAGTATCTTCAAATTCAAACAAGAAAAAAAAAGTTACAAAAAAAAAAAAAAAAGAAGAATTTCTTTTTATTGGTAAGTTTCTTTTTTTTTAAATTTTAACATTTGTTTTCTAAAATTAAATTTGAAAACTTGTTTACTTACTCATCACAAAAGCCATTGTAAAGAAAGTTATAATTTTTTGCCAAAATTGGATATGTACACAAATTATCTAACAATGATTTTTTTTTATAAAAATGTTTTTAAAAAAAGACTATTTCCTAAATTCCAGAAGATTTTAAATTAATCATTTTCTTTTCCTTAAGAACAAAATTTCCATTTTTTGAGTGTACAGTTGCCAATCAACAATGACTTTGTGAATAATAAAAAATATTGTAAAATCAAGTCCTTAATTTATTCCAATTTTGATAAAAGTTTGAAACTATTGATTTATTTTCATCCTCAGAAATCTACTCACAAGATTTTCTCATGATAGCCACATTGATTCTGTTAAATTGTTAAATATTGTGAACACAATATGGCATAATCCAAAACTTGGCTCCCATTAGAATATCCATGTCTAGCCAGTTGAAAAAAAAAAAAAAAAATGATAAAAGCTGAATGTTATTCACATTTGAATCATCAAGCTGAAAATAATGTTTAGAATCACACAATTTGTATTCACATTAATATTCTGCAAGGTTTTCTTGTGAGTCAGCAAGAGGAATGAAAAACCAGACAGCAATGGGGACAAGGAAATTCTTGAAGCAAAATTAATTCTTGCTTTTTATGTTTCAATACTAAAATTAGTCAATGAACAGGAATGATAAACCATGAATAGACACAGCACACAATAGGCTTTGTATTAAGACGAAAAAAGACTTGGTTTATAATATGGATATTTGTTCTCATTACTGATGCCACGTAACTTAGTATTTAACCTTGAAAAACTGATTATCAATTCAATATGGTAACTCAAAGACCAAAGTTAGACATACTAATAAAAAAAAGAAAATCAAAATTTGAATATATTTTCCAAAATGAAGGCACAGAAAAATGAAATAGAAACCGAGATATGTTTTTATGATAAAAATTAAAACAGTTTTTTTTTAATTATAAAATAAACAGAAAAGAGAAAATATTTGATTTAGAGAAACAAGAAAACAAAAATGAAAGAAATTTTTATTTTCTCAAACTCCTACATAGTACTAAAAGAACAACACAAGATTTTGGATTCCTGATGCACTTGCTCTGAGACTGAAGTAAAAGAAAGTTTATACTTCTCAGAGTTAACTCCTCCTTAATTTCCCAATTGTCCAAATTGTTCACTAGGGCGCGCTCTCCTGACACTATATATACGCAATGGGAACCTGCCTCGTTCTCTTTTTTACTTTGCATTTCAGTGGATACATTTAAAAAATGTGATCTCTCGCAGAGATTTGCATTTTGCCCACTTGTGGGAAAATGCCATGAAACACACACATATACAAACATTCATCAAAATACAAACTCTTTACGTTGACACACAAACAAAAAAATGTTAATGTCTTTGTCCATTGTAAATTTTGATGTTTAATACATATACTCGTTTATATATATATATATATATATATATATATATATATATATATATATATATATGTCTTGTTTGTTTTCTTTTACATTTCTTTATGGTGAATTCAATCTGAGTCTGCCATATTCTTGTAGTAGACTCTATTCTATCAGGCATCACACACGTGTTCCTAATTTAACAACACGTAAACCCACAGTCCGCTATATACTAATGGAATCAATTATTAGATCAGACTAGCCTAAACATTTAGGAAAATCGTGTTCTCAAAAAAGAAAGAGTTAAAAATGACACGTTCAACAAAGGAAACCAAAAATAATAATTTCTGCCTTTGGTTGGAACGAAGATTTTGATTACATCACTGGATGGAAATGCAACATCAATGACTTGGTCAATGTAAAAGTAATAACATAATACAACACACTGGCCTTGGCACTTGTCACTGAAGGTCATTTGAAGTGGTTCTTCTTCATCACAAATGCTAGAGTTGTTTGAATACTCAAATTCACAGAGTGCCTTTTCTTACTTCCTTTGTTCCTTTAGAGGCAAAGATGAAGTTCCATTAAGTTATATCACAGCAATGGTTATCTTCTTTGTCACACAGGTTTTTAACTTTATCAGTATACATTGCAAAGAATTCTGGTTCTTCTTCATCCTGCTTCCCACACTTAGAAGAAAACTCCTCAGGGCATGGAGTCCATCATCTACTGAACAGAAGATTAAATGTAAATTTTATTAAATACCCAGATAGGGAAGGGGGATCTCTGGCATAGAAAGTGCATAAAAAAAAGAAGAAAAAAGTTCGACATTCCAACCACCTGAAGAAGGCCAGAGCATATAATGGCTGAAACGTTGTGATAAATATGGCAACAAAGATGAGGACAATAGTCCGAATAATGTAAATAGTGTACATAATACCTCATCTCAGAAATATAGACAGATAAAAAAGGAGCAGATATCAACTTAAGGAAAAATAAAGTTATGAAAAGACAAAAGTTTGCAACGGTTAAAGA